ATCCAGGAATCAGTCATGACATTGTTGTCATTGCCAGAGCCTGTATGAACTTGGTGGCTTTTCTGGCGACATGACTGGGGCAGCTGCCATTATTGAAACTTGAAGCCTGCAAACTGTTTGAGGACCAACATTGGAAAGCACGAATCCTCCTTATTGTCTGGAAACTTCTCTTGGGACCATCCCCCAAGGTCAAGAAAGCACCAGCAATGAAATTTACAGTCATTTGCAAGAAATTCTCAGAGCTAAGAGTGGGGCTTCTTCCCCTCAGAATCTGCATTTCCAGTTCTTTGACAGCACAGAGGATGATATTGGTGAAAACATGCCCACAATGACAATCTGAGTTTAAAAGTGACCTGGAAGAGTTAGACTCTAAATTTTAGGGATAATTTAATCATTTTATTTCAATAATATTTTTCTTTACAGCTGCATGAGTGATTCGTAAATGATAAATCCAAACAAGTATAAAAGCCATTTCAGTAAGTAGAAAGTAAACATTCTAATAAGAAGGCAACACACACACACACACAGCATAGCTGTTTGAAGCACAACAATGGTGCTGTTACTCTTTGATCTATAGGAAAACTCATTAACACGAGAAAACATTGGCTTGCTATATAGAAATAAATTGTTCATCTTGTTTATTGAAGTGGTTTTCAAGTATGCACAGATCTGAGTTTGAAACTGATTTACATGGTCGTATTTTTCCGTAATTGGCAACTCAGACAGACTTCCGAAGTCACTGGTAAAATCAGTGGCTCCATCTACTTGCTAATGGTTTATTCATCATCTTCAGAAATGCCTCTTTTGGTAACATTTTTTTTCGTGTTCTATCACTGGTCTACATGTAGGAACTAGAGTTCATGACCTGGCTAGACATGGTCTGCCAAAGTGTCTTCCTTGGCTTATACACTATCTTAAAAATTGGGAAATTCTACATGAAAATCTGGATTTCTGGATTTTCTTGAAAACCAGTCAGAAGATTTTGTCATTGCTGGATCCAAATTTTTGCATGAGAAGACTAGGTTAAGGCTGAGTAGTGCATGCACCTTCAGGTGTGTGCAGAGGGTAACCCACCACCACTAATTTTTCCCAGTTTAACCACCACATGGGACACTCTTTACTCATTTATGTGATCTTGTTGGTCCTCTAGGCATTGGAGTGTTGCCAAAGTATACTTCGTATTTTTTTACATGATAACCACAACTGAATAAGAGAGGATGTAATAAGGTTTAGACATTTAGTGGTAGAAATGGAATCACCATGGATCTAGAATGCTGTGAGTAGTGATTGCTGACCATAGAAAAGAGGTTACAAAACTCATTCTAAAGATTTTAATCATTTATTTCTGGGTTCTTAGTGATAAAAAACAACGATGAACCTGTAAGTGAATGAACAGAAACATATGGCACATGAATTCACTCTAATTCACACGTCCAAAATAGAGGACGTAAAACATTGTATCGGGTACATGTCTCAGCTTTATATTATAAAATACTTACTAGTTTGTGGTTATTTGTTGGCTTAGTATGATGTCTACTCTGTGTAAGTTTGGGTGAAATAGAGATTCAGATTTCTTTATTCACAAACACTAATTATTTATGAAACATTAAGACAGATACTATACTGTTACGTTCTAAAAGACATGGCAGGTCAGTGCACAAATATTTATGGCTTGTTGTGATAAGCACCACAATAAAAGTATGCACTTGGTGATTACTGCATGCACTTAACTTGGGGCCAGTGGAGGGTGGTGAAGTAGGCTTCTCTGAAGAGGAGATACATTTTGGAAGAGGCTTGAAGAGGTATGCAAATAGAGAAGGGAAAGAAGGTTTTCTAAGGGGAAATGCAAGGGAGTGACATTCGAGAGCACATTGAGGGAACTGCAGTTTGCAGTTACTTCGGATGAAGTCATCTTCAGCAAGTTTGTTCAGTTTTCTTATTTTGCACTTTGTTGTCAAAGCTTGATGTAGAATAGGAGCTGAATTTTATTTTTATTCTGGCTATGAGCAGATTTATTTCCTATTTGTAACTTTTCACAAATAGTCAGCAAAGGACTACTGAAAGAGTGAATTCAATTAATTGTCATGTATTTGGAAAGTATTATCATGTTACCTTGTTCTGACTGTACTTACTCAGATCTACGTATCCAATATCCACATACATTTTAGAAAAAATAGATCCCACTGTAAAGCCAATGATTGGGCCAATCATTGCTATTGCATGCAAATTTCCTAAAAATATTATAAAACATTCTTATTAGATGCCAAGAATACAAAGTTCTTAGTCAATGTTTTTTTAATTGAAGTATAGTTGATTTACAATGTTGTGTTAGTTTCTGGTGTATAACATAGTGATTCAGTGATACATATATATATTCTTTTTCATATTCCTTTTCATTATAGGTTGTTACAAGCTATTGAATATAGTTCCCTGTGTTGTTTACCTATCAATACGTTTTTTAAAGTAAACTTATACAGTACATTTCTCCAAATAATTTTTTTAATAAGTAAAAGAACAAGTTTGGGAACAATATTATTTAAAGGTAAACTCAGGGAGAGTAACCGTAAAATCTAATATTTTCTGTACATTACCTAAATAAAAAGAAGAATGTCCTTCTGGAGCAAAATCATCGATGTAAGAAATCCCCAAGGGTGTTATGGGAGTTTCCCCAATTCCACGAAGCATATTACCCATTAGGACATATATCCACATATATGACCCAGATTCCTTTCCCCAACCTATGTAGACAAGAGAGTGTTTTATTTAAAACATTGATTTTAACATTCCTGTTTAAAATTCAACTAATTTAACCCTTTAATTGTTCCATTTAAGAATTTTTTTTGCTTTTTTCTAATTATAAGAATGATTTATAAAATCACAGAGAAAAAAATGTGACAATGAGTGTGTATATGTCCATGAATGACTGAAAAATTGTGCTGAACACAGGAATTTGACACAACATTGTAAAATGATTATAAATCAATAAAAAATGTTAAAAAAAGAATGATTTATAGTCACATTACAAAATCTGACATTACCAAAAAGCACAAAAACAATTAAAAATTATCTGTAATCCCACCACACATAGAGAGCCACTTCTAATACTTGTATCTATCTTTCACATTTTTGTGAATATAAAAATATGCATAATATTCTTTACTTACTTATATCAGGATTTTAATGACTGCACAATAGTGTGCTGAATGCAAGTCTCATCATTTATTTAATCAATCTCTTTCTTTGTACTGACAAAAAGTTTCTAATTTTCATTCTATGCCATGGATGCTACGGCTATAACTGTAAATAAATCCTTTTGCACATTCCTGATTATTTACTTCAGATAAAACAATGAAAGTAGAATTGCTGATTTAAGCAGATATGCATATTTTTGTTCTTTACCATAGTGAAAATTAACCTCCAAAAAGAGAAATTTATACATTTCCCATAATACATAAAAGTCTTTTTTTCTACCTCATTTCTTTTTATTTTGAATCTTTTCTTATCTTGTAGATAGAAAAATTAGTGTTATAATTTATTTAAATGTACAATCTGCACTATAATAGGTAAAAAATCTTTAATTGGTGTAATAATTTGCATTTTTCATAAAGTTACATTTTTAACATATTTATGTCACTTCCTCTTTATTTTTATTGCATATATCCTTTGCCAATTTCCTATCAAAATAGTCCTCATTTCTTATAATTTCTAAAAGCTCTTTATATATGATATGTTGATACTTTTCCTATTTATATTCTTTTATTTATATTTATTTATATATAATATATATTAACATTTTTCCTTTTTTAAATCAATTTTGCTACTAGGTATCACAATCATTTTTTACAGATGTAATTCAATTGTTAAATTTTAGAATATTTATTAGTGACATTATTATTCATTAGTATCAGTTCAGTTCTTACCTTTGCCAACTATCTCTGGTGATGTTCTATTGAGTAACAAATTTTGATTAATCGAGCAGATTGATAAGTTTGATGTTGAATTCTCTGATGGATTAGTAGAGATGTCTTTAGAATATCTGTAACTGTAAGAAAATTACTATATTTAAAATTTTGTTTATCTACTGAATATTTTCACCTTTCCCAAAAATACAGCGGAATTTTCCCCTTTGCACCATTCTCTTCTTCAAATTATCAGGATCCTCTTTGACAGTTTTCAAGCCTGTATTTTAGGAGATGCGATGGGTAAAAGTGAAATAGGAGTGTTCTAAGAAATATCATGCAATACTCCCCAGGCAAGGTGGCTTATTGTGTTGCTCTCATCCTAGGAGTACTTATATTCCAATCAAGGTATGAAATACCTTGGTTTAATGCTTTAAAAAAAAAAGAGGTAACTGTATTTATCCATTCCCTTTGAATTATCTTCAAAGATGGTCACAATCTAAACTTTCTGACAAATTTTACAATGTTTAATAAGCTTTAGAGCAGTGTTTTCAAAATCAATCTATAATCATCCTGATTCACCTACATTTTTCATCAATAACTTGTCTGATTTTCTTTCATGGATACACACACACCCACACACATACACTGTCATATGCCTGGCTCTTCAAAACTTGGTTTAAAAAATTCTAATCCATTTCAATTTTATGAAGGACTTAATAGGAACAACAGAGATGGAGCTAGAATAGAGATAAATGCTGATATCCAAAAATGCACGGATAGACTCAGAGGTATTATGCTTAGTAAGTCAGGCAGAGAAAGACAAATATTGTATGTTTTCACTTATATGTGGAATTTGAAAAAAACAAAAAGAAGAAAAACGAATATAACAAAATCGAAACAGACTCACAGATAGAAAACTTGTGGCAGTTACCAGTGGGAAGAGGTGTGGGGGAAGGGGAGAGATAAGAGAAAGGCATTAAAGGATACAGACTATTAGGTATAAAACAAATAAGACACATAAAAATAATGAATCACTATGCTGTATACTTGATGCTAATATAATATTTTAAGTCAATTATACTTCAATCAAAAAATGCTGAGGAGATACCCATGAGGTGGTTGATTACACAGATCTTCAGTATAAGAAAAATTCACTGTATATAGTGATAGTTGCATTTAATGCTTGTACTCCATACAAATCATGCAGAATGAAAAGTGAAGAAGATTGAGGAGGGAGTCTAGGCAATACTGACCTTATTGGTGCATCAGTCACAGAAGAAATGGATGGGCATGATGAAGAAGCCAAAAGGAGGAAATACATGGAGAGAATAATACAATGAAAATAGGAAGGATCAGTACTAGGAAGAAGATGAGGGTCAAATATAATAATTAACATGGTAACCAAAAGGCATGGCTGTTGGTATTGGCAATGAGTAAGTAATTGGTATCTTCAGCAGAAACTGCTCACTGGCCCTCAGTATCCATTCTTCTCTCCTTCCATAGTAACAGAAGGTGGGATTTTTAGCTGGGAAGTGGATACCTAAAATAAAGTCTATTTTCCCCAATGTCTTGATATCTGGATGTGAGGTGTAACAAATTTCCAGCTAATGTGAAGTTGGTAGAAGTGTTATGTTTCTGAAAATATGCCTCAGCCTGTGTGCATTACTGTTTCCTCTTCTTTTTTTCCTCTCCTTCTTCTATCCTACGCCAAGGAACAACATTGCCACCATTCGGACCATGAAGTCAAAGCCATGCAAGGCACAGCAATGTGATAAAAAGGACCACACCATTCCTGGGCTGGCTACATTAACTCTTTATATAAAAAAACAAGCTTCTATCTTACTTAAGCCATCACTATTTTTGGTTTTCTGCCATTAGTATCTGATTCTAATTATAACTACACAGTGACGTAGGAAGAAGTCTTAGCGGAAACAGTACTGGGAAAAACCATATTACAGTGGGCTGAGTGATGAAGTCTTACTGAATATCATCAAAGTCTTGTAGGCAAAGACACAGAATACATGTTATAACTAAAAAGTCACAAAAGGCTTATTTATAGCCTATGAAACTACACCTTATTTATTGCTACTCATATTTCAATATCAGTGAGCGTCCCAGTAGGTAAGGCAATTATACATAGAAATATACTCAGTTTCTATACATACTTAGCGCATATTCTTCTCTAAAGGGGATTCATTATGTAAAAGAAAAAAATAAAATTCTATCATTAATTTACAAGTAAATGAGAATTAATGGCACAGAGCCACTTACTATCCCATGAAGAAATGTGGTAAAGCGATCAAAATACTTCCAAGTCCCATAATAAAGCAACCAGTTCCAATTAGCTTCGGTCTGTGTAGTTTGGCTCCAAAGTAACTCACAAAGACAATCACAAACAAATTTCCTAGAAAGAGAACAACATTATTTGGATGTGATTCATCATAGTAAACAGTGCCTGAGTCCAGTTTTGTGTCCAATAGAATGGAAGGCCCCAGAATGGATACAAATAGAGCATAAGACATGGTACTTTCTGTCAAAGATCAGGTAATTTAATTAAGATGAAACTCAATTATATTAAGCCATTCACTATAAAGTTGTATGGTAGTAATAATAAGTAGGATTGGCTTTAGATAAGAAAGAAAGCTCTTCAATTACTTGGCAGTATTAGCGAAGCAAAATTTTATTGAAGAATTTTAAGTTGAGTGGGTTGTACTGGAATGGAGAAAAATGGACAGAGTCCTGACCTGAGGGAAAGGTATTTATTTATGCATTTTGAATTCACTCCTAGCATTCTTTAAATTCATAATAAGTACCTGCCATGGTGTTAGAAGTCAGAAATTTTTTAAAAAGAATAAACCATGCACAGAATCAGCCCTAGAAGAAACTGCAGACCAGTGACAAAAATAAATGGATAGGTAAAGGTGCTTTTAGACCACAGAAAAGGAAAACGCAAATTAATTAGTGGTTTCAGGAAAGTTTCCTGGAGGGTAGGTCACTTGAAATTTAATGTTTATAATTTACTTCCATTAAAAAGAAGAAGACAAGCGTTCTAAGTGAAAGGAGTCAAGACCAATTCTAATCCAACTGGAGCTACGGGTATAATAACGAACAGACAACAACCAGGAATTACGGAATATTTGATGGAAAAAGTAACATGAAATAGAAGCACCAAACTGAACCGGCAGATAAAGTAACTTACCATGAAGAAACAGTTAAATAAGGAAACTAGAAAGAGAAGAAACTGAAGAAAATCCAGTTGGTATCTCTAGAGGTACAAAGGTATGTTGCATCCGTAAATAAGAACTGGCAGATTAAAAATAAGAAGAGAACAATAAAGTATTGTTGTCAATTAAAAATACTGTAGACAAATGTACATTTGAGACCTGATACAATAAGATGGAAGATGGCATCAGAGAAAATGGATGGAATTTAAAGAAAAAAATGTAGATATTTAAAAAGGAAAACTTAAAGAAAAAAATAGCCAGAAAATATAATATTTATCTTATACATATTTCAGAAGAAAATAGAGGGGAAGAAACAAATTTAAATATATAAAATACATTTCCTGAGCTAAAGGAAGGCTTAAGGCTTCAGAAGAAAATTTCTACATTTCTCCAGCATAAATAATTGAAAAGAAAGAGTCCTAGATACATGCTGGTAAAATTTCTGAAATTCAAGCATAAAGAGGAGGTAACTATTTGTGCATGACAATAATACTAGTTATGATTTCTTGTATGTAATATGGGATGTTATGACACAGTAGATGTTTTAAACATTCTAAGAAAAAAGATTTTGAACTGTTTGTTTCATATTCAGTCAAATTATCACTTGACTATGGTAGTAAAGCAAACACATTCGCCAACAAGCAAGGGCTCAGAAAAATGTCATATGTTCAATTATTTCTGGAAAAAACTAACTAATTGAAGACATACTCCAGGAAAACTAAAGATGAGACTTGAAGTAATAAGGTTCAAGAAGTAGAGGTGAGAAAGAAATTAGTAAAACTTATAACCGTGTCAAATAATTGCTGTGAAATAGAAAGTTTAACAAACATAATAAGAATCAACTCCTCAATAAAAAAGAGATATACAGTGAATTAGAGTTTAAAGCTTACAACAATCTAATACTAAAGTTCTAGATGGTTCTATTAAACCTGGGAGGTGGAATCGTAAAGGATATGCTTGGTACAATAGCCTGTGAATCACAAAAAGCTAGAGCAAACTTGTAAAAAAAATGCATGATTTATACAATAGACATAATTTTTGAGTCCTTTCAAATTGTTAAAATGTGGGGGAATTCTAAAATGAGCAGAAGTAATTAGCTACCAGTTCATAAAATAAGAGAAAAGAATGTTCAATAATTATATAAAACCTCACTATTATTGGAGCAATCTAAACTAAATTGATGGCAACAAAGCAATATATTTAATGTTGTAAGAAAAAAAAAACCTTTAACTCCAAATTTTGTATCCAGTTAAACAGTAGAATCTAACAAAGATTGCTTCAAAATGGTTTCTCCCTTCTCAAATCATCAGAATCATAAACCTCTCTCCAACCTTTTTCTTTGCACCTTTTTCTTTTCAAGGCACCTTAAGAGAGGGAAGATTAAGCCCTGTAAAGTATCAGTTTGCAGGAAATGAGTCTGTTTTTTAGCCTTATACTTTTGACATTCTGGGCTAGATAATGCTTTGTTTTGGAGGCTGTCCTGTGCATTGTGGGATGTTTTAAGATATCCTTGACTCCTACCACTAGAAGCCAGCAGAACCTCTGACCCTCAGTTATGATAACCAAAAATGTCTCCATATATTGCCAAATTCCCCCTGGCAGAGCAGATTCACCCTTGGTTAAGAATCAGTTGTGTAGAGCATGTATGAAAAGTTTTTACCTTTGCAAATCTGGTTACTAAGTAATAATAAAAGTAGAAATAAAACTTACCAATTTCAAAGCTTCCATCAATTAAGCCAACAGTAGAAGATGATATGTCAAATCTCCTTTCTATTTGAGTGATGGAGCTTTTCATAAGGACTGCATTTAGTGCCTTAGAAATAAAACTGAGGCACAGGGCTGCCAAGAACATCTAAGAAAAAACAGAAGGAACGGGGTAAATGATTACTCAAAGGACTACATAATGTTGATATGTGCCCAGAATTAAAATAGCTTTTTTCTTTACTTAATATTATTTTTTATCATAAAAAGCATACCTACCTTTTCTCTATTCCAATTGGTACTTCTTAGTCCTTTTAACAGTAACATCACTATACCGATAAAGCATCATTTTCTAACTTGGTTACGGCACCAGATTATTAAAGCAGGACAAAGTTGTTAGCTGATTTCTAAGAAGCTAGTTAATCGTCTGAGGTGGCCATGATGACAAGCTATTATTTATCACCAAGTAAATAGCAGAGGTGAACTGTGATGGGAGTGGCTAGACATTCTCAAAGGTAGCACTTCCAGGAAGTCAGCTGAAAAATGGAACTTTTTTCATTTATAAAACCTCACTAATATTGGAGAAAAATAAATTAAAGTGAACACAACAAAGTGATATAGTCAGTGTTCTAAAAAAAAAAAAAAAGACTTTTAACTCCAGTGGTTAAAGATGTTTTATTTTCAATTTGATTTTGACAAAATTTATTGATTCATCTTTCATACAATCTACATTTATATCCATAAGTAAATTCCTTTTATAGCTAGTATTAAAATATTATCCTGTTATGAACTGCATGTTTGTATCTCCGCCAGATTCATACGCTGAAATTCTAATCCCCAAAGTGACGACATTAGGAGATGGGTCCTTTCAGTGGTATAGATTTCCCTCGTTATCCGAAAGCAGAGCATTCCTCTGAAATTTTCATAAGCCAAAATGCAATTACCTTAGGACATATCTTGCTAACAAATGCACAAAATAAATCAAGACAAAGGCACAGATGCTCACAGACACAGTTCAAGTCTATGGCAGCTTGACGCTGAGATGCTGAGTATACTTCCCAGGGACAGAGCTTGGAGGTGTCTCTGTCATTGCCGGAAGTGCCCACTGCCCCTCTAATGGCTCGCTGCAAAACAAATGCTAAATGCTATTTTTACTTTTTGCCCTTTCTTGTAAAAGCAAAAATTCTCTTTGGATTTCTTTCAGTCAGCAGAAAACAGGTACCAATGCAGGTCCTTGGTAAAAGTGAATGGTGTAAAGCGAACCTATAATCAGGCCATGAGGATGGAGCCCTCATGATTGGATTAATATTTCTCCCTCAGCCATATGAAGACACAGCAAGAAGACAGCCATCTGAAAATGAGGACGAGGGTTCTTACCAGAACCCAACCGTGCTGGTACCTTGATCTCAGACTTCTAGCCCCATGAATGGGGAGAAATAAATTTTGTAAATCCCTAAGTCTCTGGTGTTCTGTTGTAGCAGCCCAAGCTAACTAGGACAAGCCTTTCTCATCACCTTCTACTCTACCAGAGGTAGCCACCATCGTGTCTAGATTGGGTCATTGCATTAGCCTCCTAATAGATATCTGCTTCTGCTCTTGTCCACTTATGGTCTCTTCTCAACACATTAGGTGGAAAAATCCTTTCAAGATGAAAAGTAGATCATGCCACCATTCCCTGTTTTTCCATCCAATCATAGTAATATCTAGTCTTCCCAATGTCCTCGAAGGGCCCAAATGATCTCTTCTCCTCCCCTAGGCATCCCCTCCCCACAGGTGCCACCTTTTACCTTCCAAATCTCATCTTCTGTAACTCTAGTCCTTGCTCATTCCCCTACAGCTACAGTAGACTTCTTGCTGTACCTTGAGCAATTCATGTTTATTATATTGCCTCAGATTCTTCGTTTTTGCTTTTTCTTTCTTCAGGGAATGTTCTTATCTGGAGTCATACTCCTATCACTCACTTCCTCACATCTTTGAGGTTTTTGCTCAGTGTAACTTTCACAGTGAGACTTTCCTGGACAAACTTATTTAAAATTACACCATTTCCCCCCTCACATTACATTTTAATTCTTTACTTGTTTAATGTATATTGCCCTCAATTAAATATGAACTTCATCAGGGCAGGGTTTTTTTGGTCTGCTTTGTTTAGTGCTAAATTCTCAGTGCTTAGAAAAATGTTTAGTGCTAAATTCTCAGTGTTTAGAAAAATGCTTGCAACACAGTTGCTCAAAAAGTATTCGTCAAACTTTTGTCTAACTAGAACCTACTGTGTGTTTTACATGAAGCCATGCTTGAAGAAAAGAGAAAAAAGGCCCAATATAGATCCTCCATAGCAGGCAAAATTTCTTCCTACTTAGAGAACTTTTTTTTTAGATTGAGTTATAGTTAGTTTACAATGTTGCGCCAGTTTCTGGTGTACAGCACAATTCTTCAGTCATACATGAATATACATATATTTATTTTCACATTCTTTTTCACCGTGAGCTACAACAAGATATTGAATATATTTCCCTGTGCTATACAATATAAACTTGTTTATCTATTTTATTTATACCAGTCAGTATCTGCAAATATAGAACCCCCAGTTTATCCTTTCCCATCCCATTCCCCACTGGCAACCACAAGTCTGTATTCTATGTCTATGAGTCTGTTTCTGTTTTATATATAAGTTCATTTGTCTTTTTTTTTTTTTTAAAGATTCCATATATGAGTGATG